CTGCACCGCCTGTACTACACGGTCTTGATCGCTTGCTACACTGTGTGACGTACACGTTACATGATTTAAACGGGATTCGTAAAACTATTTCTGCTGTTCGCGTGTATCGCCCACAAACGATGACACAGTTTAATACGCACAACCGTTCCTATTAATACACCCCGAGACGGTGCATGTAGAAGACATCGTTGCAGCACGTGGCAAAATAATTGTAAACGTTACACTGTTATAATATACGATTCGTCAGACGCGCATATTTAGACGATTCGTTAACGCGGCTTTAATTCGAACTACCCACGGTATACACTATTTTGATCGCTTATTAAACGCGAAACTAAACATAGAATACCTATAGCAATAGAGTTAATAATCGACCCTCCGCCCCGGCGATTTCCCCGGGTGTTGCGAACGTGTACAGCAGCAGTATTGTAATAATATTACACACCTACCGAACCGGTCCGTTCGCACCGTCTACAAACACAAACTCATCGTATACCGTACAGACTTCTTCGTCGAAATGCAGCTTGGTGGGCCTTGAAGTCCCCGTGGCTATCCAATTCAATCGGTCTCCCCATACCGAAATACGTCTCATCCAGACGTCTGTATATCCGGGAACGTGGCGAATCTCGGAAAGTCGAAATTTGGAATCGCAATACTCATGGACGAAACTGGCGGCGTTGTCAGCCGAGTCAACGGCTGATAACGCGCGACGACGTAGTGTATCATGTTACAAATTCCTTGATATTGTCTTTCACAGTTTTGGTTTTCCAGTTACCGTTAGACGTCCGTCTATTCGCGCGTCCTCCCGAATCAACTACGGAATCGTTCCTCACGGGATCCATCGATCTCGGTCCGGAATCTTCTACCGGTTTTTCGCCGATAAATCCATTCCTCCCGATACGTGTTGTTTAAACGTTTTCCCGTCAAAACACGAGACCAAACCACGCGATCATCGTACTAAACTTATACTTCTGCTACGCGAGTGGGATATTGGGTGTTTCAAAAGATATTTTTCCGGTACGGCTGACCATAATACAATATATTATACTATTACGGTCGATGATGGCAATCGGTGGCCCGACAGTGCAGGAGCGCGGTGATGCGAGAACCCGACGAACCGCAACGGACGCGACACGGTTTTTACAATGGCGCCCGTAGACATCACGTTGACGCGATATTCGGATGATAAATCACATGCGGTTTTTTTTTTCAACCGTTTAACGCCTTATATCTCGCCAGGTTTTTCATTCAGATCGCACGACCGGAAGAACAGAGCGTTTGCCATCATCCGTGCAACGCGGCGGTCGGACGGATGATTTTGCGCTCACGACAATGAGAGTACGTACATACGTATGTGTGTGTGTGTGTGTGTGTGTGTGTTTGTGTCTAGAGCGCTTTGCAGTCTGAGTAAAATGCGGCAAATGCCGGATTTTTTTTTTTTTAAGACTTTTGTACGACCTTTATTATGAATTATGATTTACGACAAATCGCTTGTAAAGTTTGAACAATAAATATTATACCTAAACGCGATAATTATGTATGAAAAAAAAAATACACATAAAATATCTCTCTTTTTCACTTTAGTCTGTAAATAATAATTATCTACTTGATTTGGCAGAATCTAGTGGTTTTGTTTTTTAATAGGTAAATTCGAAACGCGTATAAAGTATACCGGCCTTGAACTTTCGGTGATCCAGCACCAAGCCGCTTCCGGATTATTTTATGACTCAGTGAAAGGTGCGCTACACAAAAGTTGTATTTAAATACCAGTGAAATTAAATTGTCCCCGTTTAAAAAATCATGGCTAGAGACGTCTACCGGACATCGACAACCACCAGCCGCGTCAACATAGACGTTATTTTTTTTTTTTTGGTTTCCGCGTAAAATATCACATCTCGAACATCGACCTGCTATTTTCATTTAACAATGCCGAGGACTCGACTTGAAAAACCTTTAGACCGGCAAGTAAACGAATAAACGTATGTATACGAATCCCGAGCGGAACCGTAAACTATAAATGAACGGACGCCCGCGGTAACGCGTAGAAACTTTGAGAGTAACGAAAACCCGCGTTTCCCGTTCTGAACGCGCGCTTCTAAAGGACGCGTAACCGACGTCGTGCTTCGCCGAGGCATTTTCGGAACTCTTCTACAAAATCCAACTTCACGCTTTCTCAGGCGTGTCTACACCGCGCGTTCGCCGTTTACGGAAGCACGAATCCGATGTGCACAGTGAGTCTGCGTGTCGGATCGTTCGCGACAATATTGTCACGGTCCACCGATAGTTTCCGTCCGTCCGATTTCGATCTTCCGCCAGTCCTCTCCGGCCGAATCGTCCGAGGACGGCCCGTACGCACTCCGATCGGAACGATGTTTGCGAACGCGTCGCGCGCGCCCCCGTATTGTCCGAACCGCGTATACACCGCATTATATTGTTATAGTTCTGCTATTATACGCACACAAAAACGCACACGGACACACGCACACACGCACACGCACACACACACACACACACACACACACACACGCCTTTTGGTCGTCGTCCGCTCGTTTCACCCTCGAACGGACACGCATACACACAAGCCCCTCTCACTCCGCCTCCTCACCGATACAGCTATTATTGCTATACACGCGTATTTATTGTACGCACACACACAGCTATATACGGAAAATTACACATATTATTATTGTTATTATACTATTATTACAATATGCGCGTCCCGTAAAAAGCAAATACGAGACGCGTTATTTGTCGCCGACGACGGGGGCGAATGAATGCGTATAATATTACACACGTATATAGGTACGAATTAGCACGGTGCCCCCCCTCCCTCAAACGTCCCTTCCCCTCCCCTCTCTACCCCCCCGGTGAACGCGGCGGCGGGCGGGCGTACGCGGTCGCCGGTGTTGTTTTGATGGGCAAATTGAGCGTACACGAATCGGTCGCACGCGGCCGCGATAATATAATACCGTGTTATTATTATCATTATACGGGGTGATTTTCGTTTTTATCGCAATGCGAATCGTCCGCGCACGTCGTATACGTTACCAGCAGAATATAGATTTCGAGTAAACTCGATTTTACAGTCCCCTCCCCCGCGATCTGCATACAGACAAAACCGGACAAAGCCTGTATAATATACGCGATTAAACGAGCCCGGGCAAGTCGGTCAAATTTTCTGACCATAGTTAAATTTAAAATACTAAAAAACAGAAATAAAAACTACTAATACTAATCACAATTTTTTAATGAAAGCCGGTAACTTAGTTAGATTGAAAATTTGTCAGCGACAACACTAATCGGTTTGAAGAAAATTGCCGAGATAAAAAGAGACGATAAAAAGTATAATATTACAGTGGGCTGAACACACTTGGTGTAGCTACATTGGCACAATCCCTTATTATGTGCAGTACTGAAAATGCTAGAAAGTGCTAGAAAATAATCCAACAGAACAGGAACCGCTGGAAATGCCCCGTAGGAGACGGAAAGATTTGGGGAAAAAAGATGTAAAAACCTTAGGTGGAGAATCGAACTGGAAAAAACGAGCGTCTGACAGAGATTGCTGAAGATGTGGATGTTTGACGGGATGGTCCTGTATTGGCCGTGATATATCCGAAGAAGAAGTTAAAATTAATAGTATGATTTTCTTTAAATTTATTTACGAACTGTTTGTACATAATTCTGTGCAAGTATAACTACTTATATTTTTTACGTTTTTTTTTCTACGATAATTTACACGAATTTTCACGTGCACATCATTGTTACATAAGTAATAATTTTCCACTCGATGAGTAAAAAACATATTGACGGGTGTCAAGTTCGTCGGAGCATTAACGGAAGTTAAAGGTGGTTTTAAATAAGTAACTTTTAAGTTATTATTTTCCCGAAAGATTTTAACCAAACTTAGTTACTGTAATTTAAAAATTAACTTTAACTTGCAGCTTAATTATTATCATCGTTTTTGTAACACAACTTAACTTTCCCAAATTTGCATATTGATCTATAAAACCGTTTAATGATCTTATTTAAATATTTTCGAAATGTTACCCTTAATTTCGTACGGGTACCATAAACAAAACATCAATTTTTACGTTTCAAATATGTTACTCCGATTCGGAAAAAAAAGGAAATTCTACAAACGTCCATTACACGAGTAGCCCTAATATCGGATGGTAATCTCTTTAGACCGGATGAGTTTATCACGGTATCATCAGTGTTTGAAATAATTTTTTTTTTTCGGATCCGGAGATTATATAATGAAAACGCGCGAGTTTGTGGTAGACGGAATTGAGAAAATAGTATTGTGCATTAGATCGCTACGAAATATTCACTATAGCATTATAGCATTATAAACGAGTGTAACGTTCAAACCCGAAAACACCGTGAAACGGGACATGAGCGCAATTAGACCACCGACTTTGGGGGTGGGGAAACTATGGACGCAAAAAAATCCATGGGGGATATGCCCCCCAAATCCTCTTTAAACGACTCTTACAATAAGCAACTACACATTTAATTTACAATTACGTTGTATACAATTAATTAATATTAACTATTTTCATACTTACATTGTCTGTATAGGTAATCGGTATTTTGTTCTGTTCGTTAATTATGAAACACGCGGATAGAATATTCAGTCATTGCTATGAAAAAGCTTACTGGTTTTTTTTTCGGAGCGAAGGAAGATACTAAAGACCCCTAACACCCCCTGGTTGCGCCTACGGGCATAACCGACAATCGCCGATTCGCGATGGACTCACTCTGTATACGCGCGTATCGAATGGCTCGTCGTGTTATACCAACAACGGCGTGATATTGAAATACATGTTATTTATTGTGATTGTACAACCGAAACCAGTACGTTGCGACGACGACGTTTACGTTTTGGGACAACGGACACGACACCGTCGACCAGAATAATCCATTCCCTTATGCGGTTATCGGCTACCCATAATACGCGTATTACAATGCATAAATACGTATACATACGTACCTATATATTATGCGTCAAATATATAAATGACAAATCCGTTTTGCCCACCGTACCGTAAAGTTGCGAGTTTATAATACGTTTTCTCGGTCGCTGTATTATCCCTCTAATATGTGTACCCGAACGCGGAAAAAAAAAATAATAATACGCGAAGGAATACGGTTTTGTTATTATTATTTTTTTTTTTTCCCCACTTTTCCCCCGTAAAAGATTACGTATTTCCACGCACAATCGCTATCGCGTATTTTCGTCGTTTCTAACGCGGTACGAAAATAATTTATTATTATACGTTATCGAACCTTTAGAATTCGACAAACTTCTCGCCCGCAATCGTCTTATAAGTCTGCACGGATTTTTGTTTATCTACGAAAACGAATTCTTTCTTATATTCTCTCGCCTCTGCGACACTGCATTTTTATTATTTATCTTTCACGGAACAAACGGGGGTTGTAACAAGTCTCGGTTATGTATCGGTACTAACATTTTCAATGCCCTCCCCCTCTCCCACCATCCCTATCGAATCGTCCCTCCGTTAGTTTTTAGAAAATACATTTTTTTTTTTTTTTTTTGCACCGCATAGCATTTATCTGTTATTCGTCTGCGCCAAGTAATAGCTTCTGACTGAGAGCCGAAAGTGTGCCCGGAATTTAATGAAATTTGTTTTAATTTGTATCTGAATTTCGCCGAGATGCTAGTTCAATTTGCTATGTGCCGCGCATGTTCGAAAGATGAATTCTGTGTAAGTAGTTAGATGTTTTGAGTTCGAGTCGAATTTTAGATCCAATAATCGTAAAAAGTATCCCAAAAACCCTAAAATGCTTTAAAAATGAAAAAAGTGATTTAAAAACAAAAAAATTAACTGTTTTATAATATATCTTTGTTTTGAATATGTATTATATTCTCTCTCTCTCTCTATATATATATATATATATATATATATATCATAAATATAACATAAAGTTAAGCTGCAAAACCTAACCAAAAAGCAGAGCTTGTAAACGGTTGGGTCGAGTTTAGTATCTAACTATGAAAAAGTAAAATAACATAAAAATAATCAGAAACAAACAAAAATATAAATTAAAAACTAATATTTAATGTACTTACACGACAACAATAATAGGAGTATTCTCATTTAAAAGTACACAAAACAAATTTGTAATAAAACGAGCATCGCACAGCAAAGTTGTGGAAAACAATGTAAAAAGCGCAATAAAATCCCTGCCTTATAATACCCAGCCTAATACTATCTTCTTCTTCCTCGACTTATGGGTCCGTTGAGAACCATCGCTGCCGTCACATAATCTCTCTAGTATTTAATACAATATATGATATCTCAATTTTTCGTACTTTTCGCCCCAGAATGCCTATAAACCTCCAAATAAAGTCGGCGCAAGAGCAGAGCGACCGCACCGGTCAGGACCACCAGCATAGGAATCCGTGCAAATTTTAGGCCATATAAAAGCAACGCTCAATCGTGAAAAACAAATTATTATCGTTGAAAAAATATGACAATTTAGAGAAAATATTATTGACATTATATTATTCTAAGGACTGCATATAGTATTGATGATATATGTCTGTGATATTCGTGTTCGTAAATCGTAATTCATAGACCAAACTTCAAATATTAATATAATGCTGTCGTTTCTAACTGGAAAAGAAATTCGTATAAAGTACACCCACTATATATTTTATGGTGAAACCAAATTTTGTACTTAAATTTATACATAAATCATTGAAATTCGCTAAACTTAAGTTTCAAGCCATTTACGACTTACGTTGATAAATTTGGGTTTCTATATCGCGTTGGAAAGCTTAGAAAAACAGAAGACAGTGAACTACAATACAATAGTGTGAAGATATTCGTATTTATCTTATAAATGGCCAGTACAAAGATATTAACGGAAATGTGTTATATCACGAACTTCAAGTATTTAAACATCTTTCCATACTAAAAATATTAAATTGCTCATATCCATACATACCTATTGTTCTTCGAATAATACGTATTGTTCCTATCACGTCAGCTTTTGCTGAAAGATTATTCTCGACATTTATTTAAACTATTTCTTAATAAATTGTTATCTAATAAGTAGGTACTAAATATGTTAAAAAGTAAATAATAAAATAAATATTAACAATTGTCACGTATTATTTTATACAATAGTGAATCTAAGATACTTTAATTAACCTAAAACAGTGTTTTCTCACCTGGGAGACACGCCCCCGTTTGCCTACGATTTCTCCAATTTTTCCCAACTATTATGAAAACCGCTTGGAAAACAATCTCCCTAAAGTACTACCGAGATAAAATTTCCTTTCAGAAAAGATAATATAATTTAAAATTAGAGCGAGATTTCTAATAAAAAAATTTTTTACAGATAAAAAGAAATATAATCATAATAAAATAATAAACATCATTGGAAAACCAATAGATTCATCGCTGCGTTCCGAATCTAAAAAAGGTTATCAATCTTTTCAATTTAAAGAGGGATAGGAGAAGTGTGATTTATGACGATTCTCCAAAAGGGGCTTAGAGTAAAAAAGTTAGGAACCTGCAGTGACGTGACGTTGCAAACTTTAAATAATTTAATGTTCGTTAAGTATTTTTTCTATAAAAATCTATTTATAAACAGATTCTCCTTCGTAATATGAAAACAAAACTAAAAATTGTAATTTGAAAAAATATGAAAATTCTAAAAGTAAAATAAAATCAGTTAAATAAATAAAATACCTATTGTCCTACTAATAAAATTTTGTTTTATAAATATCTGTAAAGGAACTCGACAACTTCAAATCGAAGACCTTAAGACAATAACGTGATATGTCCTTTTTTAAAAAATTGTTGCATCAAAAAAACAATAAAATGTCTGGTTATATCGATAATACAAGTTTTTTTTTTTTTTTATTAGATTACGTGAAAAAGTGATTTTGGTCCGAAAGACGGACATGTCTGGTGATTGCTCTAAAGTTTTCAATTTAAAATGAAATGGTCACTTCAATTTTAAATTATATTTATATATATATATATATATATATATATATATATATATATATATATATACTAAACAGTTATCAACGGAACATTTGGTTCTGCTGAACAATAATTTGATAGTCTTTCTGAACTTTGAAAATACGAGCTCGTCGTATCAAAATTTACTTTCACAGTCTCGTGTAAATGAATCTGTGTAAATATTATGTTTAAATCGTATTTACCTTTTCAAAACACGATATATATTTTAATTTATGATCCCGTTGCATTTCGATCAGTTTAAGTGCATAGCCTTTTTATAACACAACGGCTCTACATAACAATTATTATACAATTATTAAACGCCTCTTGACACACACTCTAAAGTTACTCAATTATACAACAATATAGTCGACTTTTTAACGTTAACGGTAAATATGTAATATAAATATATTTATAAACTATTGAAACGATACTTGTATAGCGATACGGTATATAGAAGCAGCTTACTTTAAAAAAAAACCCCTACTAAAAACGCACACAATATTATAGACGTGCACTGGGTTCACTGTGTAGTGAAGCTTTCGGTACGAAACTTTTGCTATGGATTAACAGACAATAATATAATATTTAAAAAGTGCGCGCTGAACATAATAAATTATGGCTGACGGGCTGACAAAAAAAAAAAAAAATAAAATACAAAGTAAAAAAAAAATTTGGCAAAACATTTTTTTAGGTTGAGGTTAAACAATATTAGAGCAAAGTCGACGGGAGAAAACCATAACGAAAGTATATATATATAAATATACGTATACGTATACGCATACATAAAAATAATATTATTATAAATCCTCTGTCTACTACACGTGCACATAATATTTAGAATACAAAACGTTAACGGTACGACGGTACGAGACGTCTTCATTTCGTTAAAACTATTATATTTACAAGTACTCGCTACACGCATTATATTATTACAGTACCTCTTATTCGACGAATCCGTTATCTACAATATTCATACTTTAAGTGGATATTATATTATTTTTTTTTTTTTTTTTTTATTTTTTTTTTTAGCACCGTTTTACGGTTTTCATTATCGTTCATTAAATTCTGAATATATATGCGTACCCGCGTATACGTACGTTATTATTTCAACGCTTTTCAGCTTATCGATATGAGTCATTGTAATAACGCAAATCGTTCGCTTGCATTATATGGGTATTTTAAAACAAAAAAATAAAATTGTCTTCAATTTGTAATTAAAAAAAAAAAAATAATAAATAGAACACATGGGTATAACGACAATTTCAATTGAAATCGCCTACACATTGTTTTCAATGAACGTATAACGCGACGAAATATTCGGGCGAGCTGCAGTATCAAATTTTCATTTTTCCAACCATAATATTGAATTCTTCAAGTGTCCCCATATTTTTTTCAGCAAACATTTGTTTGTTTGTTTATTTTTTTTTTTTGATTTGTTCGTATGAAACGCATTCGTACGTAAATGTGGTACGTAGATAAAACAAACGAACACGGAAGTGAACATTTTTCCCCCCGTATTCGTAACGCAGAAAGAAAAAGAAAAGAAGAAAAAAAAAAAAAAGAGAAAACCGCGCGGAACAAAACAAATCGGACCGCCGCAAACCGGCCCGCCGGCCGTACGGTCCCGGTCGCTACCGGCCGGCCGGTACGAATGGTGGCGTGAGAGAAAACGAATCGCTCCCGAACGCCTTAAAATAAAAAAAAATAAATTACAACGGCGCTACGCGGCGACACGGATTCAAAAGCCCGTCCTCGCCGGGCGAACCGTTAGACGTCGCGACGTTCTTAGGCGCACGCCCGTACAACAGCGTCCGGGACGCGGCGTTGTCGTACCGCGCTCGCCGTGTGCGCCGCACCGAGCGGCGGACGCGGAGAACGCCGCACCGCGGTGCGCGCGCTTTATTGCCTATAACGGCGTGATTAACGCGCGCCGGATGCCGTACGAAATAACAATAATAACGATAATAATAACGACGATGATAAACACCCGCGTAAATAACGTATAAGCTACGCGCGCGCGGATAATATAATATTTATACGGCGTAGTAAGAACCCGGCGGCCGCGTTTGTGCCGCCGCGGCGGCGACGCCCGCGCCGGAGATTTATCCCTCGAAATAGGATCGCTTCCAACACCCCGCGCCCGCCCGCTCGCCCGCCCGCCGCGTATTATAACAGCGTTTACGCCGCGTGATAAATTATCGAAATAAATTCGGATACACACGAAGTGGCGTGTGTGGGAGGGTGGGGGGGTGGTGGTGGTTGGGGGTGGTAGGGGGGTAGTGGGGGTAGGGGGGAGGGGGGGAGGCGCGTACGCGGGATAATAATATTCGTGATGCACGTACGGGCACCCGGTACGCGCGCGAACCGAGCGCGAGGCCGGGCGTGCGCCGTCCCCGGCGAATCCGCCCGGACCGCGTTCCGGGCGGG